AAATATAGCTTAATGGTACAATATAACTAGATAGGTTTTTATTTATTAAAAAAAAGAACTGTCAATTACTTACAAACACCATCAGAGAAAAAAGATTGAGAAACCGAACACAAGATTTGATGATTGAACTGATTCCCTCTCATTCGAGGATTTCATATCATCCGCAGAGCTAGCCTTTTGCCATTGATCCTCTGTAAGGAAGCATCAAATATTAGATGATATTTTTAATTACAGAAGACTAATCAGATAAATTCTACAATCAATTATAATATTCAATTCGGTATAATTTAATTCTCATTAAGAAAATATGCTGTTCAGATTGTGGTTCCATAATGCAAATATGTTGAAGTTCTGAATAGTTATATTCAATTAAATTTAATCTAATGTCTAACTCAATTCTATTGTTTGTTTCCAATATCTGCATTGTATAACCAGCACTCCCATAATAGCAACAAGCCTCCCATATAAACTTAATTAGATGTCTTGCCCGCCTTTAGCACTGGATGCCAAGCCCAAGTTCTCCTGAACAATATCTACTACTAAAATATGCAACCAAAATTTGACATCAACCCTGGTTCAAATGGACTCAATGCATGGTGACAACAAATATATAGCAGTGGTTCCAAACTAATTAACAAGCACAGTGTTTGCCATACCTTTCTAAGCAAGGGTCCAGATTGAGTTGCATCATTGCCCTTTGAAGAATCACGTGGTACCACATCCGGATGTCTTTCCTCGTCAAGCAATTTACCATCTTTCGCATCATCTTTCACTTTTTTCTTTTTGCTGTGGTGATGGTGGTGGTGGTGTCCATTTGTCCATGAATTAGCTCCTTGAGAGTTTTCTTCAACATACCTAACCACCTTCTCTACAAGAAGAAAGAGTACAATTCCAGCTGCAAGAACCCAAAAAAAAAAAAAAAAGTAATAATTATGGCTACGTGATCTGATCTGAATAAGAAAAAAGATTATCATGAATGGGGCCAGAGATGACTGGAAACGAATTTAAGATCTAACAATTAACAGACTAAATTTATGAAAAGGAATTTTAAGATATAATAATTTAAGCCATTGATGTACATTTTTATCAATGAAAAGTCTGAAGGGGAGTTATCACAAAGTCCAACTAATAACCACCATTTCCATTAGTTCAGAATAAATTCTTTACATTCCAATTTATAGTTAGTAGTAAACAAAAGTTTCAGATTAAATGTGGAATAACAAATCCATTTTCATTTGCCATGCAAAATCCGGCCATTCATTGATAGAATTGTCTGACTAAATAATAGTCATGCAGACAGCACGCAGGCATTTAAAATTCCTGGTGCCTAGGTTAGTATACAAGTTAATTAACTTAAAACTAAGATGGCAAAAACTTCCAAGAAATTGATCATCAGAAGAAATAGAAGCCAAAAGTCCAACATGTAAAGTATTTCAAAGGTTAATAATGTTAGTGAGACACTACCATAGCATCGCCACTAACCAAGGATCGATATTCCTGTAGAAAGATCTGCTAAAGAATGAGAATGCTGATGTCCGATACGAGCATCATGGTCATGGTCCACATGATTGCCATGTGAATGGGAATGCTCACCACCTGCATGGAAAAAAAAAAAATCACGTTTCTTCTCGCAAAATTTTACATAACCTTCATTCAAGGACTGACAACATTTTTTGAGGTCGCAAGACTTTGGATTTTCAACACTTTCAAAGCATCAAACATAAATGTAAGCCCTTCCAAGTTTAATACTAATAAAAGACAAAGCACAAACACAAAAAACACAGTTGCATTAGCCCCATATTTGACTGCTCGTGAAACATGGAACTCCCATTTAATCTGACCCCTCTCCTTACTATAATCAGCACGATTTTGGGGTACGCTCTCCCCTTTCACCCTCAAGTATCAAAGCCCAATCAGTTCAACTCACAATGTAGATGAGCCTCTTTGTCCAATAAGATGGGGTTGACGAAGGGATAGAAGTGCCACATGGGATGGGACTGAGACATGGAAATCAGGCTCTCCCTCACAGTGAGAGAAAGTGGGGGGGGGGTGGGTGGTTTTCTTTTACATCAACACGTCTCATATAAGAGGAAACAGGGCAGAAAGGGAGAGCTGAATTCCTCCAATTGATGCGTGAAGCACAAGAAATTGATGGTGGCCATACATCATGAGAATTTTCAAACCAACATAGCCAAAATAAGAGGGATCAGATTGCACTGAGTCTATGACTCTGCACTGTGAAGCTATTTATTTTTATTAAAAAAGAAACGAGGCATGAACCATTCATAAGAGAAAAGAAACTAATCGACAATTGCATCCAAAATGAAGAAGGGTTGCATCTCATACCAAAAGCATGAGGTAATTGGTGAAGGAAAGCATCCCCCAACATAGCACCCGCCTGCAGAAGGCATATTTGATGAGAATTAAACAAAAAACGTGATACAGCAACCAATAAAAAACAAATAAAAGATGATGATATAGCTGTCATTTCCTGAAACTCTGTAAGAAGATTCACTAGTTAGCAACATGCTGGAATCTCTGACTCATCATAGAGTGTATGATACAGTCAACAGAAACTTTAAAGGCCATAACTTTTCTTGGTAATTTCAAATATTACACGAATAATCTTTAGCTAGCAGCAGATTGATCTACATCATTATTTTATAGTACACCTTCATACAGTTTAGTATATCTAGTCATTTTGAACTAAAATTATGATAGTAAAAATTGAAGTTACATGAAAAAGGATAAGTCAACTTGCACAAGCTGTGGAAGTTAATTTGAGTGTACATAATGTAAATTGTTGCTAAAACATTAAGAGTATTCATTATTAAGCTATAATTTTGAAAGCACTTCATCACATTTAATTATGTGAATTTGTAAAATTACACTTCAAATGATTCCTCCAATGTGTGCATGTCTAGAGGTAAAGAATTATAGAATCTTAATTGTGGAAGAACAATCATTTTAACTACCACCCGTGGTCCATGCATTGAAGACATTTCGAACTTTGACCTTCTAAGGATCCAGCAAGTAGGAAATACCAATGCTTTTCTGTTTAGCAAAATATCCGCAGAAAGAAAGATAATAATTTAAGATGATATAGCTTAAGAAAGATAAAAAAACAGAAGAAGACCAAGATTGAGGTCATGAAAATAGAAGGTAGAAACCAGACATGGAACTAGTGGAAGCCAGATTTCTCAACACATAACTTATGGGCATTTCATAAACAAAAGCGAACATGTAATACGAAAGCATAGTGAAACCATAGCAATCAAAAATAAATAAGTAAATAAATAAAAAATAAACCCAAACAACGGGTAATAAAGGAATTAAAAGGAAACCTGACCCCAAATAAAGCCAATGAATCAACAACTGTCTTTGATGGTTTTCCCTGTACTGCAAGTGAATAACTTTCAACATTCAGTTCTGCAAACTACGAATAGATATTGCAAACAGAATGACTTCTGGAGAAATCGAATGCAATGAAAAGCACATTACTTACCAAAAATCAGAGGCAAGATAATCAGACAAATAAGGGAAGCCATGCTAACCAAAAATGAACATCCCAATGCATTCAGCCAAAGCCCTAAATTTACATTAATAAGAAAATGAGTAAAATTGAATTAACCAAACAATAAATAAAGTATCACATCTTATGATATTATATGCCATCACTTGATACAAAGCAATAAGCATGTATCACACATGATGCCCGCTCAACTGTTTTACAGAAAGTCTACAAGCTCAGTGGGGTACAAGAGCATGTAAATTGAAGAAGAGTTGGGGGAAAAAAGTATATCTTAAAGTTGTATCACACTGGATATGACTCTGTTGGACATGAAAACCCTCCCGCATCATCTTCCGCTAAAAAGACTAGAATTAAACATGCAAGATCTTTGCGTATCCTGAAACTCCGCGTAATATGAGGTAAACAGTATCACCATCTCACATTGCAAAATTGTCCCTCTAATCCACCCAGCATGAAAGCTTTCCGTGGTGATCCAAGTTTCACTCACAGCCATATTTACTTGACAGTCTAATACAAGTCGCACGGCATAAATAATTAATCGGGCATTCCTGAAGTCGCAACACTCTTCGACTCATTAAACCACAGAAAAATAGAGTTCTACGAGTTTGCTTCCCAGATTTGAACTCATGATATCTTAGAATCAAGTTGTTATCGCTTTATAATATTTTCAGTGAACAGTTGAATGCCTCAAGTCAGCATACACTGCCCATTGTCCAGCGCAAAAACACCCGCACCAGAATGCCAAACCACGAAAATGATCAATCAAATCGCATCGGAAGGAATCGGTAAATACCTAAACCCGATATTTCAGAGCCACCACTGCGCTGATGACCGCGGTGGTCATGGTCGTGCTCGTGGTCATATGCGAACCCGAATCCATATAGTTTCATATCCTCCTCCTCCGCTAATTCCTCCGGAAGCCTAGTTCCAGATACCAGTTTCTCCTCTTGATGATGCTGGTGGTGATGACTATGCCCACACTGGGGGTGACTATGATGATGATCGTGGGAATCATGGACCTGCGATGTGCAGGACCCGGAATGATGACCGTCGTGCCCAAGTCCCAGATCCAAGCAAAACCCGAGAACCAAAACCGTAAGCAATGCCTGCTGAATCAGCTTTCTACTCAGTGCCATGAAATCAGTGCGCCCCTACAGAACCCAACTGGATTCCGAGGGGAAAAAAGAGTGCTTGAACCGAAGGAAATCTTGGCTACGGAAGTCAAACTAGGAGGTGAACTAAGAACGATTTTTGCAAGTGCCTTGGATGGTGATGTAGCAGACTGATAGAAAGAAGAGAATGATAATGGCGACTATGATTCCGAAGGCTACGACGTCCATATTTAGTAGAGCTGGGATATTTTGAAGAAATTAGTTATTTTTTTAATTCTAATGCGAAAATTTTCCATTTACAAGTGCCTTTCTTTCATCGAAGCCGAAGGGAGAGAACCAGAACTGCCTCAAAAACCCGATTAACTTATCATCACTGCTCATGTCAAGAGGAGGAAAACCCAAAAAAAAAAAACAAAAACACTTGTCATCATCGATCATTCGTCAGTGTTTCCTTCACCGTCCACCCTCCATGTCCACTCCCACTTACCAACTATCCAATAATAATTATTTCACTTTCCAAACAACTTTGGGAATTCGGATCCTTGGATCCTGCTTTTCTCTGGTTATTTTCAAACACTTTTCTTCGTTAATTAAACAAACGATATACGGCATGATTTCCCTGTAAATATTCATTGTATAATTTTTAACATACAACACTGTTTATCAGTTATAAATATTACAGTGCATTTTTCAGATCATGTGGACCACACGAATCATGTTTACTTGGATGAAATTTGTGTATGCCAATACCCACAATTCACCAACACACATTGATTTTCCGGTAAAAAAAAAAAAACCACACCTATTGGTTTCTAAATTTTAGAAATATACCCCACGGACGTAGAGAAGGAGGGTAGAATCGGCCTCAAACCAACAAGTTGTTGGTTGAGGTGGTAGGACCTCACTCTTTTAAAAAAAAAAGAATATAAATTCGAATTTCGAAAAACATTTTTGTTAGAAAAGTTATTCCTAAACCGGTTAGATCCGAAAGAGATTAGTCTTAAGTCTAATATGACTTAGAGATACTTTTGTTTCATCTAAAAAAAATTAGTATCAAGCCCTGGCCAACGAAATTCAAAGAAATTTCTTTTACGGCAAAAATTGAAAAATCATCTTTATATGTATGTATAACGTATTATTTTAAAGCTAATTACTTCTTTTTTTTAATATAAATTCCAGTTAACTATTAGTTCTTTTTTTTGGTAAACTCTCAAATTTATTCTTAATAAAAATAAGTTTAGTTAAATAATTAAAAAAATTTATAATTAATTAAGAATATTAGGTGAAGAATAATATTTTAAACAAAAAATGTTAAAGTTTTATGATAAAGTTTGTGGAAATACTCAATAAATAATATATCCAACTATCCATGTATTTTCAGAAAAGAATGACTTTGATCCGTCTCCCGTACTGAGTTGGGGACCCTCCTCATGCTTTGGATGAGCATAAGAGCCACGTATGATTTTGTTGGATCCTCCTTGGTAGGTAAGCCCTTGTAGTAATGGGCCAGGCTCTCCGTCTTGAACAATGCGGGCTTTTCTGGGCTTACCAGGCTTGCTGCTGGGCCTATATACCCTCTCCTTCCAGCCCCATGAACTGTGGCGATCGATATTCTCTACATTTTTAGTTTTTTGGAGTGAAAGATAGTCTCTACATTTTCGGGTTTACAGGTTGCTTAATGTTCCACACTTTTGTACGCCCATTCGTTATGGTCTGCTCCGTCAATTCTTTTTTTTTTTTTTGAATTTTTTGCTTGATATGTTGTATAAAAGCATTAAATATTTTTTTCATAAAATGATCAAATATATTGAAAAAAACATAACAGGCTACGTAAATACTACTTTAGTTTTTAATATAAGAACTCGTTTGATTTTTATTTTGGTTATAAATATAAGGACTTAATTCACTTTGTCTCTCATTTGTTTTTTTTTTTTCAAAATAGTCATTGTAATAGTAATAGTTCTAGCAAGTACACTTCATTAGTAAGGATATTCTAGAAAAGACAATATCTATTTACTATAAATAACTAACTTAACTAATTTTCTTAATCTACTCAAATTAGTCAACTAACTCTCATATTAACAACTGGAAATAATATGACACACATACATAAGACGGATTCACACGCTAGACAAGAGCTAGAGAGTAAATTAGACAAGATTGAACCTAGCTAGAAGGCTCAACTATTACAACAGCTCTAACTAACAATCTAATTAAAATGAAACACCAGTTGTCAAATCAGTAAGATGAAAATCATGTTGAGCAACAAACACAGTATTGCTGATCCATCCACAAGACATGAACACGGAGAATATATTCTGAAAACTCCTCATATTAACAAATCGCATAAAGAAAGATTTGTCGACAAGAATGAAGAAACTTATGCCACTAATTTTTCTCTTGAAAGAGTAAAGAGGGACATCCCAAAAAAAAAAAACACTAAACATGGTTATGTAAAAAAAAAAACACGTGATGACATTTACCCATTGATTTAGTGCGTTAAATGGTTGGCAAAAAAATACGTTAAATTGGAATTGGCAACGCCATGTGTTAAGTCTATCAGGTATCTCCTCCTTTTTTAAAAAAAAAACCAGACATCAGGTACACCATTTGATATTATCACTCGGTTAATCCGATTCGGGGTTCGTGACTTCCCTCTGTTTCATTTGAAACTCAAACTTGAGATTCAAAGGAATCTAGCTAGGTCTTATATTGCTAAACCAACTCTTTGTTGATAAAAGTACACCATTTTGCTTACAAGTAGAAATGTGGAATGCGTGTATCTAAAAAAAAAAAAAAAGATATGCAATGTGTTCAAGCATGAGACTAATGACTTATTTAGAATAGCTTATAAGTAGTTTTTTAGTTATGATTTATAAAATCAGAAGTAAATATATTAAAAGAATTTTATCTCGATTTATATAAAAGTTAAAACATGTTTATAAGTAATTTTTAAAGCCATGCCAAACAACCCTTAATTAAACTTTTAGGTTATCTGTCAGCCCACATGCCTTCCCTTTACTAATTGGAATTAACACCTGTACCCATATTGATACATTAGGGAAGTGAATAATGATAAACATTTTTTTTCCTGAAAAGTCTAACTTCTGAATTTAATCCAAAACCGCATCCAATTTGGATGAACTAAAATTAAAATTTTGCTAAATAAGTTTCATTGATCAAATTAGACCAGTACATATATTTAAATAACTAAACTATTAATTTAATCCTATATAACTAGGCGGAGCTACTGTATCGTGAACTGTATTGTTTCCATAAAAAACTGTCGCTTCAACATTTTTTTCGCATCCTTGTGTTTTGCTAAAATGCTTGATATAAGTTACTGTCTAGACAGAAGTCAGCTCACTGAAAATTTCTCACAGGGATATGTCAGTTACCAATTGGAGTGTTCTTTTTTCATTTTATTTATGAGTGAATTACACATATATTAAGTTCTTCTTCAGTTGGCCAAAAAAACTTTGTCTTTAAATCGAAAATTCAAACATGTCACTAATAATTAAGCAATTAAATATGTGACTATTTTTAAAAAACAATTTATGATTGCTTGCCTAAATTTTTTTACTAAAACATAGATACTTTCTTATTAGAGGCAATCCTATTCGAAGAACTGTCGGGTACTAAATGTGGACATCTCTTTCAGTAGAGATTCGAATTTTGGTTCGTCACATTGTGAGAGACTAACCTCTTCCACTAAACACAACTCCCATTGGTTGCTTGCCTAAATTCTAGATTAAGCATTGTGAGTATCAATGAAGGGCACACAAAGCCGCAGAGTACAGTAACAGTGTTGGGGCCGTTTGACCCAACTCAAATTAAAGTTCGAACATTTCGTGATGAGACTGCGTTTGACTTTATGGGAGTGGATTTCTTTCACTTGAAACAAATAGTGATGATGATGAAGAATTCAAAACTGGGAGAGTGATGATAGAGAAAATGAAGGAAGAATCAATGGAGGAGGTGCCAAAATAAGACAAAAGAATTAAGGAAAGAGGTGTACATGGAGAACATCGCCGACGTTGACAGCGAAGGAGTGAGAAAGAGAAGGAAGAAGAAGCCAGACGCCATCGTGCTTGATCGGCGCCAATGCTCACACCGACGCCGTCGCTAGCCGGAAGAAACACGTACAGTGAGGGGCGTGGCGTCGGTGTGAGCATTGACGCCGATCACATCCCGCGGCCGAGGAGACGGAGGATAATAATTCATCCTCCTCCATGGATTATAGTTATAAACAGGCACAAATTTGAAGCTGCTACGTTGTATTTTTATGTATTGCTGGGCCTACGACTGTCTGGTAGTAACAATAAAATGGGGCTCCTGATGACCACCTGATGCATTGCTGTAATATTTTATGGTCTCATCCTAATCCTAATTATGTAAATTTTAAAACACATCTTTATCAATTGTGGAGCCACCATCAAACTACGACACACAGGAGAAGAAGACAGGCAGCAGGAAATAACCTTGAAAAAAAAAAGCAGAGATAAATAAAGGATACTAAAACCAGGTGTTGAAAAGCGAGTAAGCAATAAGTACTGGTGATCAGTTTACAATATTGAGTGGGGAATCCTCCTCGTGGTGGATGCGCATGAGATCCAGGTATGATTTTGTGGGACCCTCCTTGGAAAGGAAACCCTTGTAGTAGTCGGCCACGCTTACCGTCTTGAACAACGCGGGCTTTTCTGGGCCCAGAAGGCTCGCTGCCGGGCCTATGTACCCTTCCCTTCCCGGCCCATAAAACGTTGCGATCGAAATTCTCTCCATTTTGGAGTTAATGATGGCTCGGTGTTCCACACTTGTGTACGCCCCATTTGTTATTATCTGTTCCATTCATCCATACGCGGCATGCACCCATCAGTCAGTGAAATAAAATACAGAAATATGAAACGTCATTTTGAAAACAGATGCACGTGACAACATTTACTCCTTGAATGGGAAAACTATAAATTTCAACGGCAACATAAAGTACACCGTTTCGTGATTAGGCATCCATGGAGAGTGTGTTTAGGCATAACACCGATTGAAATAATCAAAGCAATATTGGCTACAAAAAGCTAACCAATATAGCTTAAGGTTTGAATTACATATTCGATGCATTCGTTAATTGGAACTAATAATGATGATAAACGTTTTAAAAAATTGAACTTTTGAATTTATTCCAAGACTGCGGTGAAACTTAATGATCTAAAACTAAACTTTTGCCAAATGAGTTTGATTCGTGAAACATTAAATCAGCAAAATATATTTAAAGAGCTAATTAGAAGTGTTAATTTAACCTTATTAACTAGGCGGGGCAACTGAATTGTGTTGTTTTCATGAAAAATTAGCACTTTAGCATTTCTTGCACATCCCAAACTAATCATTAAATAATTTAAGTTATTCGGATATTTTTCTAGAATGCCTGATATAAATTACTCCTTAAATAAAAGTCAACTCATCGAACAATATGCTCACATGCATATTTTTGTTGCGTTGATGAAGTACTTCTTCTGATACGATTTATAAAATAATTTTAAATAAATTACGCTTCTTAATAAATGGGGTCGAAGTGCACGTTAAAGCGCTGATTACTTTAGAAACTACAACGTTGGCAAAAAAAAAAAAAAAGAAATTACAACAATGTTGGAAAATTACTGTTAATTAAAAATTTTAATTTTTAAAACAATTTATAAATGTTTTGCTAAATTTTATAATAATAATGAGTGACATGAGAGCGCCTAAATTCAAAAGTCAAAACTGAGAGAGGGGTGAGGGGGCGAACCTGGAGAACATCGCCGATGTTGACGACGAAGGAGTGAGGAAGAGGAAGAACCGGAACCCAGACGCCGTCGTGCTTGATCTGGAGGCCCACCACGTCGTTGACCTGCAGAAGCACCGTGAGGGCAGTGCCGTCCGTGTGAGCATTGATGCCGATCACATCTTGTGGCTGAGGACACGGCGGATAATAATTGATCCTCATCGATTGCCCACCTTCTCCGAACGATTCCTTCATCTCCTCCTTCTTCATTCCCAGTGCTTCTGCCATTCCTCCCAGAATCTTCCTCGCCACTTCTCTCACTTCCACACTGTATTCCTCCAAATCCTCTCTGCACCATTCTTCGCGTGTATCAGATATTCCTGCTAACTTCTTCAAATATCTTCTTTTATAGTTTTAATTTGCTGATGGTACGTACCTGAAAGGTAGGGGGATATTAGGGAAGAGGCGGGTATTCCTCAAGTGCGATGGAAGTGTGAAGACGTAGAAGACATCCACCCAGTTCAGTTTCTGCTGCTCGGACACCTCAAACATCTGACCAAATCCCTCCATCTCTCCTGCTTTCTGCCACAACTTGTTCTTCTCTTCCATCGGAAGATCGAACAGTTCTTTCACTCCTTTCTTCATCTTCTCCACCAAGTCCTCCCTCACTCCATGATTAATCACCTGTACGAGTCTAAAATAGAATTAGGAGGAAGCTAAAGGATCCAGGATGAAAGGTGTCTGATAGTATAATAATAATTACCTGGAAGAAGCCCCATTGCTGAGAAGCAAGATGTAATTTATGCACCTCGGCTTCTTTCACATGATGGTCACAAGATAACAAGTTAGAGAGGTCAATTACAGGAATCTGAGGTGAAGAGGGTGAGTTGCAGACAATAGGATCGATATCCACGGCATGAATATATCTATCCGGGACTCTGCTTAACGCCTCTTTTGCTAGGTCTTTCACACAAGGCACCCTCATCACCTTGTTGCCCTCTTCTGCCTCCATGGGCCTTTTACTTATTCTCTTTCAGCTGACACCCAAACTTTTATATGCTTGTGTCTGTGTACTAATTCTATGTGTTATGTGCGGTGTAATGGAGTGAGGAGGAAGGATTTGAATTTGAGGCACTATTGGAATCCGTTGACAAAGAGATTATTAAAACTACATAAATGCATTGTGAAGATCCCGAGAACATGTGGCTGAGCTGGGGTCTGCTGCTTAATTTCTTATTCCTCACATCAAATTTTCTTACTCCTACATTTCTCTTTTATAAAAAGAAAATTGTTTCATAGTAGCAGTATTACATTTCAATTTCAATTTCAAATCAACGTTTAATATTAGTTTTTTAATGATTTGTTGAATAAAATAATGTTTTTAAAGGCATTAGATACTTCTAATAATAAATGAGCTGAGGGACGAATTTGATTAAACATATCATACTTTTACATATTTATTAAATTTTTTTAATCCATGTGCTGTAATTTTAAGGGACAAATATAATGAAACAGTGAAGCTATTTTCATTGAATTCCGGTTGGGTACCTCCAAACCTGCTGCCGTGTCTTAAGGGGATTATTTATTTCATTGTTATCAATTTTGGCTGTCGTCTTGTTATGGGTTGTTTCCTTGTGCACCATTACGAAATGGAAAAATAAAAATAAATAGGAGTATAAAAATCTGTGGAGTCTCTTTCTTATCAGAATTTTTAATTTAAATACAACACTATCATAATAAATATTAAATAATGATGCCAGAAAATTACATCAGTCTTTTAAATGGAATTATACTTTATTTTAGGGGAATAAGGCGCGCGGAACGGGGCTGCCGATGACGACCTTATGTATATCTATATTACTAATATTTTATATTTCCATTCAACTTAACTGTATACTCCTTGTGTCAAGGTAATTGACTACCACATCTAGACCAAAAAAGAAGTTAAAAATAAATTATATTATTAAGTATGTGAAATTTTGGGGAAAAATTATGTGAAAATTTTGTAAAAATTTCCAAATATATGCTTGTCAAAAGTTAATACTACATTTGCTATGTAAAAAAAAAGTTAATACCATATTACTTATAAATTAAAGTAAAATTTAATTGTATAAAAGGGTAAAATGGGAGAAAACAGAGTGGGCCAAGGCTAATTGAGAGAAAAAGACTTGGGCAGTAGTAGTAATTAATAAATGTGGGCATGGAGACCCTCTCCTTTCTTAGGTGGCTGTTACTCTACGCTGACTCAGAGAAGCATATGTTACTCCTCCGGTCCTAATTATAAGACCCAATTGACTTATTTGAGGAGATTAAGGAAGTAAGTTAAGTTGGTTATTTATAATAAATAAGTGTTGTTATTCCTAAAATATCCTTGCTAATTAAGTATATTGGCTAAAACTATCATTATTAGAAGGATTATCTTGGAAAAAAATACATAAATATAAGAGAGAAAATAGATTGGGTCTTATAATTAGGACCAAATAAAAAGTCAAATTGGGTCTTATAATAAGGACCGGAGGAGTATAACAGTACTCAATCTTAATGGCTAACCCAGAACTGTGATTTGCTTTGGGTCCATTTTTAAGGGCGCCGATCCATGAAGGTCAAAGGTTTAAAGTAATTCTCACAATAGGCGTCCACGAACTGTGCCCGCATTATATACATCTCAACAGCTATTTCTCAACTTGTTCTTTACGATGACTGCAGCTTTATATCCCTTGAAATTACCTTTCCTAGACCGAGATAAATCTCACTGGCTCGATTTTATATACTCCCTGCTCCGTCCCTTATTTTAACTAAATTATATAGTTTAAGAAAACAATTAATATGTAACAAATGTAATTTTTTTAAAATATACCCTTATATATAAATTGGTAAATGTGAGAGAGTAATAATAAGATAAATAAAGAAAGAAAATATATTAAATACATTAAATTAGGAATAAAATAGGTAATAATATATTAAATACTCAGACAAACTTAAAGACGATCTTATAAAAAGAAAAAGACCCATTTAAAAAATTAAATCTTATAATAAGAGATGAAAGAGTATATGTTTTGCGTTCTGTGTGTGTGTGTGTGTGTGTGTATTAGTTCAGACGCCAGAAAAATGGAGGAGAATATGGGCGTAATTTGGAAGAAAGCTCCATTCTCTTTTTGACGTCCAGAAAGCTCCATTCCAAGCAAAGCAGAGTCAAGCTTCTGAAGCCCAAATCCATATTGACATGGGCAGACTGCTTGCTTGTTTGCAATATAACCAAGTGTTTTTTTTAAAAATAGTGTTTTGGCCAACGGAAGATGATAAGTTTGGTGCAACAGGGTGTGTTTGGATTAGCGGTGAAAGAAGTAACTTTTTTTCAATCTGACTTTTACAAAAATCAGATTGGGTAAAAGTCAGATAGGATAATATGATTTATGTTTGGTTTGGATTTTGTAAAAAAGTCAGTTTGAGAAATGTAAACTTGTTTGGATGACTAATAAAAAAGTTAGTTTATATGTAAAATGAACAAAAAGGATATGAATTTTATTAAGTAATACTACCTCCAGTCCTTAGTACAAGAGCTAGTTTTGATATTAAATTTGATTCTAAATATAAAACAATAACTATTTATTATAAATAACTAATTTAACTAACTTTTCTAGTCTCCCCAAATTAATTAACTAGCTCTTATATTAAGGATCAGAGGTAGTACATATTTACTATTAAATGTATATAATGTGACAATTGTAAAAAAATATTCAAAATAAAATTAAAATAAAAAATTAATTTATTATCAAAAAGAAATTAAAAAATGCTACCTTTCCACGGCACTGTTACTTTCCACCGGTAAAAGCAGGATTGAAGAGCTTCTTCCATAAGTCCATTTGAGATCTAAAAGTCAGATTATATAAACGCTGTGCCAAACACTACATTTTCTGAAAAAGCACCGTTTGGTGTCCAAACGTGAATGCAAACACACCCATAAATGTCAAGATGTGGACGTAAATAGTTTGTTTTTTATTAATCAAATAGTTTTCATGAGATTACATGTGTATGTATGAACACTACTGAAATATTGAAAAGAAACAAAAAAAAAGCACAGATACACGTACATGCTCATGGTGTTTATTAAGCAATACATTGTATACATGAATCTAAGCGGCAGGCACGATCCTCTATAGCGGATTAATTATTTTGGATCCTGATGGTATCGAGATAAGATTTTCCAATGAGTTCACGTGAGAGATAGCCTTTGAAAAATTCAGCCACACCAGTTCTTCTAAATAAAGGTGGTCTTTCTGCAGTAACTAAGCTGGCTGCTGGACTTAAATCTCCCTCTAACTTTGGACTGTAGAATGTGGCTATCGACATCCTCTCTTCCTTTGAGTTTACTGTTGCTCTGTGTTCTACGCTCTTGTAAATTCCGTTCGTCACAACCTGCATTGCAAAATCATATAATCTCATCATCAATATCTGTGCTTAATTAGCCTGTGTATATATACACTAGGAGGAAAAAGAAAAATATAATGTAATATACCTCCAACATATCTCCAATATTGACAACGAAAGCATTAGGAAGAAAAGTAACAGGAATCCAGGCGCCATCGTTTCTGATCTCAAGACCTTGTTCGGTTTCATTGACTTGGAGGAGGATGGTGAGACCGATTCCATCAGAATGAGGACTAAGCCCATTTACGAGCTCTGGCTCAGGGCATGGCGGATAATAGTTCATCCTCATTGCCTGCCATCCTTCTTCGAATAATTCTCTCATTTCCTTTTCCTCCATTCCAAGTGCTTCCACCATTGCCTCCAGTATCTTTAGCGCTAACTTTCTCATTTCTCCGCTATATGCCTCCAAATCATCTCTGCAATTATTTGCCACTCTCCATATCATTCATTATCGGTTTCTTTATTAATATCAATCATTGTTTGACTTGTATATCCATGCATGATAATATAATTAATATCATATCACTATTCCTATTCCAATATAATCACGTTCGTGTCATTCAAAAGTTCAAAACTGGTAGGCCAGCATGAAAATTATTAATTCCTGTCACTTCCATGCTAACAATTATTGGTTTTAACCGTGGCCCCCATTTGTGCCGAAAAAGACAAAGACAGGAAAACGGTGGCCCTCATGATATAAGTTATAATTCTTCTTAGTTCGTACATTCTTGATTAAGTAAGAGTTGAAAGATAATTAATTATCGACAAAATATCATTTCATTACTTCATTATTTGATAATTTTCATGTATTTGTCTAATATGAGCTACGAATATATAGAGATAATGATGCATATGTCACTTGCACCAAACGAGTTGCTGTAGCTTAATATAAAATCAAAACTGCAGCCAAAACATAGTTTATACTATCTTAAATGAATCAAAACCATGTTTAGATTGTGGTGGGTTTAGATTTTCTTCAGTGGTTTGAGCGACTTGCAGGAATTATTCCCTTTGTGGTGGCGTGATTTTATGTATCTAGAGGCATTAAAGGTGACATAACAAATAAGTAAGTAATGAGGTGGAGGTAATAATGAAAGATCAGAGCTTGTAAAGGTACTTGAAAGGAAGAGGAAGATTGGGAAAGAGGTGGGGCTTTCTGAGAGAAGGAGGATGAGTGACCATGTAGAACATGTCAGCCCAGTCCAGCTTCTGCTCCTCACTGACCACAAAGCCCTGACCAAACCCTTCCACATCTTCACCTGTCTGCCAATATTTCTCCTTCTCCTCCATCGGCAGATTGAAGAATTCTCGGATTCCCCTCTTCACTCTCTCCACCAGTGACTCTTCCACTCCATGATTTATAACCTGCATCACATATATTTCAATGACGCATGTCCGATCTACTGGAAAGAGATATATGTACACACACACACGTGTGTGCGTCTGTACGGGTAATAAGAGACCTGGAAGAAACCCCAGTGTTGGCACGCGGAATGGAACTTGTGGAGCTCAGAGGCCTTGAAATCGGGAGAAGATAAATGAGACAAGTTGATTATGGGAACTTGTGGTCGTGATGAGAATGGCTCTGCTTCTGCATCTCTGTGTTGTAGTAGTTCATCATGAGGACGCACATATCTTGGAGGAACTCTGCTTGAGGACTTCTTGGCCAACTCCTGAACTGAAGGTACCAGAAGTGACCTTCCTAAATTCCCTATTTCTTTCTCCTCCATCACACATTCATCTGCTTAATCTTCCCTTCCCTTATATGTGTGTGTGGAGGTGCCCGAAGAGGTTGCCAGCTTTGTTTTGATTTCTATTTCTTTCCACCCGCGCCGCAACGAATTGAATAAGTTCTGCCGCTATTTCTCATGCGTGGGCCAGCGTCATAAATCATAACATTATCAGTTTACAAATTTCATCTACTCCCACCGGCCTCTAATTTGATCCTCCTCTACCGTTTTCTCGTCATTTCATAAGTTTCGAAATTTCAATTATGAACAGGTTCTCTTTGTCGTATTGATTACTTTTATAGGGTTCTTAACCCTCGTTCTCCCTAATTTCAATATCTTTTTTATATTTATGATTAGAAATTATATAATAAAATGGGATATATAATTGCATGTTTTTCACTACTACTCCGTCATATATATACAAATGGTCTTTGAGAATTTTATTAATAAATTTATTACAAAAAAATAATAATTGTAAACAACCAAGAGAAGTTTACTAAACTATGCGGTCCAATGAATTTGTTCTTCCAAAAGATAAGATCAGGAACACTAGTATCAATTTAGTTTTTGACTATTTTCGTGGAGGCAGCCAGCGTTCATGGAATTTAATGTGAGTTGGCAGTGATCAATCAGTTCAAGTAAGGATTTTTATAAACCTAAAAATTAGTTCACATGACTAGGTTGAAACATGCAGAAGAAGACAAAATGTGGAATTGCAATAGGAAGAGCTTTTCTTCGTTCTCTGCATTTGGCCTTTATGTCTTCTTCCCCTTATCTATCTCTCTATCGTCGTTTGTTCTTTTTTTAATTTGTCTCTTTTGCTATGAAATTCAGGCGGCAATGTATATATGTTTGATCGGTGTTTTTTTTTTTTTCGTTTTTGGCAAATGCGATAATGTCATGGTGTCTCTAAAAATAGGAAAAATCACTTTGAGGGGACCACGGAAGCAAAGTAAAAAAACACAATCCCATCTGAAATACTGGAAAAAATATAATGCAAGAGTCACTTGTAGATCATTGAAGCGAAAAGAATTCCTTAAGAATAACTCTGAAATAAATAACAATAGCAATTAAGTATCATTTAAAGCCCTGTCATATGTTTTCTTATCTGCAAAGCAAACGTCACCATACATCATTGGGCCTAGCTGCACTCTCCGGTCTCCCACTAACACCCACCTTCACAAGCCCATAAAACGCGCGCCAATTTTAAGCCCCAAAATTGCAACAAGTAAATTGGCTACAAAAAAATTTGCAGCAAGTAAAATGATCCCGAGAAAGGAAAGTTATATCACTTTAAGAAATCCAAGGCACGAATTCCTTTCAAAAAATGGTTGTTTGAGATTGGCACTGTTCGCTTTATTGGAATCTGAATCAGTTCAATTTAGATGCTTCTCTAAGCTAAATAATAAAAATGAGAATGATTAAAATTATGAGTTTGTTTGTGTAACAACAACAGTTGGTTCAATTGATAAGGAGTCAACTTATAATTTATGTCTAGAGTTCAAATCCTGTTGTCCTAGGACAAAGCAATAGGCAGGTTGTGTTGTCCGTCCCCTAATCTGTAGGCCTGTCCCGTATCAGTAATGAACCCATTTTAAACCTGTTGTAAACGGGGCGGAAACATATGGGCTGGTTAAAAACGGGTTATGGGAACCCGTTTAGGTGCTGCTCCTTTTTCCCCCTCTCTCTCTGAGATATGTGTTAAAATGAAGCACATAGATAACTGAGAAGAGAAGTTCTAATTTAAGCAGAAACAAATAACAAGTTCACAACAATCGTTTTCATATTCAATTCTTATTTAGTCTCTGCCTCTAGTCATTCTCTGACGGCTTGAGAAATTCAGATTTGAGACTGAGAGAGAGTTGAGATTGAGAGAACAGAGAAAATCAAGTAAGGGTGGAGGAGAGATGAGTCTTGCAAAGGGTGAGAAGGCTTGATGGTAGCGAAGGAGACGATGACAGCAATGTTGAGATAAGAGAGAAAGAAGGAGAAGAGAAAAGCGACATAAAAAATGGCAAGGGGGAAGGAGAAAGGCAGCAGAAAAAACGTGGCATGGGTGAAGAGAGGATTAGAGGAACTGGGGAGTGGTGACTGTGATATTGTTGCTTTAGCATGGAGGAAGATGGTGACTCCAAGGGGTACAGAGGAAAGAGTCGTGTTGCATTGCCGCAAAAGGGAGAGGACTTTAGAGGCTGGAGCTTCTTCATTACTAATAAATCATTAGGGTTTCTTTTTTTTTTTTAAGGGTGTTTTTGGAAAAAATGAGGAGGCAATTAATTGATTAAAAACCAAAAAAAAATTGTAACTAGGAGTAGGTAGAAATCGAACCAAATTTAAAAACTCAACGTGTGTCACCAAAAAAAAAAAACTCAACACATTTGCCATCAAATCACGAGGAGATTGCATGGCTTGAAAGGAACATCATTATTTTATAAGAAAATATTTTTTTAAAAAAATAAAAACTATATACAGGCAAGAACGGGCAGCCTGTGAGTGTGCCCTTAACCCACCTGTTTAAGCCCGTCCATTACAGGCTTTTTTTGGGCAGGCTTAAATGGACAAGTTTTTATCAAGTCTGGGCAAGTCTATCGGGTTAAGAGTTACTTGCTTAGCCCTATGTTGTCCATATAAAAAACTTATTGGTAGGTAATCTATAAGTACATATATAAACATGAATTGGACAAAATGGGGTGGGAGTGACAAGGACGACAGAGGCCAATAAGAGCATTATTAATGAGAAATGAGTAAAATTTGACCAGGCGTGTTATTATGTGCTGGAAAACCACTTTGCTTTTGTGTCGTTATCACAAACGTGATTTCCCTGCCTCCTTTCTTCTTCTTCTTCTTGTTCACTTTCTGACTTTTAAAAAACTATAATCATATAAATATATATATCATCATAAAACAATAAGGAAGCACGTTTTTAGTTTGTGGGAAAGTCGCTGCGTACGATAATCCATTCTGCAAAATAATGGTTGGGTGAGGTCCTGTTTCACTTTCCCGCGCCTAAATTCTGTTGCACTGCAATTATATGTATGCGGTATATTTCCACGTTATTAAAAATATGCTATATTTGAACACAATTTTCAGTTTTCATGCCAAAATTCACGTGTTCTATTTTATTAGCACCAAAAAGAAATAGAAATTTATGTGAACGTTCCAAACATATTTATCAATGACTTCCTTTAAGAAAATCCATTTTTCCCCTAAAACTGCATTTGTAAAATAACTCAATTCTATTACCCAAAAAAAAAAAACAGTAACTCAATTCTGACAAAAGATAATCTCCACATGAAAAATATTTTTCACATTAAAATAGGTAAAACTTTGGTGGGTGAATCCCAGAGCAGCAAATAATCCTTTGTAGTATTATGGACAACAGAACAAGACTGGTCCCAGATAAATAGTTAAAAGTAATTATTAAAAAAAATTCATTTTTAATTTTTTTATGGAAAACAAGGTCAGCACAACCTGAGTACAGAATAAAATTTCATTAGACAGAAATAGCCTAGAAAAACATAAAAAAAAAATAAGAATAATAGTATTTCCAAGTCACGCGAGTTTAATTAGATGCGTGCCTTAGGGCTATGAGAAGATAACAAGGGTAAAAGATATTGTTCAATCAATAAATATGCGCTCGATAGTCTAATAAAAATAATTAAATGTTTGAATCAAATTATCGCTGTGACACCTTTATTAATAAATAATTCTTAATTCTTAATATATAATATGAGTATTTGGGATTCAAGTAACGCACCATGCACCTTAACATTATATTTCATTTCATATGTGCGCTTTTTGTTCTCAGTATAATAACAACTTATTTCATTCATATATATATGGAAAAAAATCAGTTGTAAAAAATTATATAAATCATAAAAAAATTATAAAAATTCATGGAATTAAAATCTGTGTTATTTTGTTTTCTCCCCTGTCAACATGATCACACAGCAAACCAAACGCTATAATTATTTACACGACTATAGGAACGTTAATGTGATAGGGCGTGAATGAATTATATGCCGTGCCTCATCTTCCAATTACTTATACACTATTGGTTCGTGCTACTTTAACGGATATAGGGTTAAAAGTGTTCAATATTCATTAGTCACAAGTTTGTGAAGTGATTATTGTGTTTCCCCATGAAAATTATATGGTTTTGGAGGCTTAAAATATTAATGTGTGTGTGTGTGTGTTTTGATGTTCATGGCTAGTTAGCTCGTATTCCATCATGTCGATCTGGAGGATAAAGCTCGTAGTCACTACTAATTAATAGTGAGTCAAACTATAATTATAATGGTCTTAGCTTATTAATCCAAGTCAAACAATGATAACTACACGTCTTTAATCTATTATAGGCATAAACCAATGTGTGAATCCATATTGTGTGGGAACTTTGTCACATGTTCTTTCACAAAAATCTTTTTATTAATTACGCGCGCACAAATCAAATCATTCACCCAATTGAAGTAAGGATCTCAATTTTTCAGTATGGAAGATCTCAATTTTTGTATCTCTCATATTTATTTATTTTTGAACTACCTCTCTATCTAAATTGTTGTATGATCAATAAGCTAGGTTGATAGAGTAATACTTAAATGCAAATAATTAAAAAGAGGAGTATTATTTAAGAAAAGCGACTGGCATAGTTTTAACACATGCTAACAACTCACCTACTTTTTCAATTTATGAAAATTATTAATTAGCTAGCTCATATGTACATATATATATATGTAGCATTGGGGTAATTTTGCATTGGAATTCAAAATGATTATGTTGATCATATGTGTATATTAAATGACGTTCTAACAGAGAGCAGAGCTTATGTGTATTACTTCCTGTTCTAATTATAAAATTTTATTTATAAACTACAAATAAAATTTTATAATTAAGACCAGAAATAGTAATAAGTAAAAAAAAATCAGAGACGTGCCAAAATGTGTGGCTTACATTCTCTCCCTGTTGTTTTTGCGTCTGGCTCATTCCGTGAATAACAAGCATATAACCTAATTTTTAATAAGCATATAAGTAGGGTAGGAATAATCGCTTGTTAACATTCCAGAAATCTTTTTTATATTAAACTTATGAAAAATATGGTGCGTATACGTCAATGCATGTATTTGAATGTGAAATTTTAGTTTAAAAAAGGAGGCAAGTTTGAACACAGCAATACAATGGATCAGCCAAGTGGGAAATCATGGAAGTGCTGTTTGTTTGCCATGTGAAAGTGGTAATATGATAGAACTGGAAATAGAAATCCTTGATGATAAGATGTATGTGTTTGGTTGGCAATGATTGGAGTGTTACGCACTACATTCTAACGGCAATTAAGACTCCTATGCCAACGGAAATGTTATTCCATCAAACGGTCAATGCAATCGGCTGACCATTCTTCTATTGCGGGACGGAAGAAGTAACAAAATTCCCCGAAATACCCATTTTTTCTTCAGAACTTATAAATGGTTCCACACCAATCGACTAGCAAGTCACAACAACCTTCATTGAATTGGGAACTATATTTTACATCAATCAATAAATACTTTCATTTTAATGAAGAAAATGGCAAAATGCAACTCCTATTATAAACACGACCTTTCTAAGCAAAATAACATCTTTTAATTTGCCACTCATCGTTTTGCTCAAAAAAAAAAAAAGCCACTCACCCCACGTTGCCGAATTTGACAAAATTTATTATCTGTATATGTTTTGAAATTCTTTCTCATAATTAAGAAAACAAAAATGAATCGCTGAATATTAAAAATTAAAAATTATTCAATTTTATGTGTATTAATGCAATTATTGTCTAACCGAATAGAAATATCTATTTTTTCATGATATGCCAAACACACTCAAGTGATTAATTTCATCCACTTTTATTCTCATTTACCTTCTAATTTTCATTAAAAATATTTTGGTTAAAGTATATGTTTGGCCATCTAAACTTTATACAAATAAGATATCTTTTCCGTTTTTAATCCTAACATTATGAATCTCAAATGCAACTTTTTGTATCAGTCATTGTTACGTTTAAAAATTAAACTCAATATATTAGCATTTAAAAATATTTTGTCAATATTTAAAATTTCAACAGCAGTAATATTTGTTAATAAAACTAATAATATTAGGGCAGGAAAACTGAAAATATACTTTATAAAATTAAAGGATTAAAATAAAACTTTCCGTAAAGTAATCAAAGGACAAATTAAAGAAACAATGTTGCCAAATATTTTGTACGTACAAGCGAGACCGACCCAAGTGTCGTGCAATCTAACTATAGGGAGAACTACTAATTGTGCTGTTTTAATTTATTTCCCTATCTGAGAAATTTCCCATATCTTTAATTTGAGGGAAATTGTAGGTGAGCTTGTAATTAAAACCCCTCAGAAAAGTTTAACGCAGTAAGCTTGTGAAAACTTGAAGTTCCAGGGGATCTTGTGAAAACCTGGCGAGGTGAAGGTGATTTTAGGAAACCTACTGTTTCATATGTCAGCTGAAACCTAGACGTGTCGGTAAGCATAAGAAAACTTTCATATATATGATGCACCATTGAGTTTGAGATTAGATAAATAAAAAATTTTAAGTTGAATTGCTGGTGAGATAATTGAGAAAACTCCTTGTTTTAACTGAGTCTTAATTTATTTAATTTAGTTATGAGGATTCTCAAGGAGACTGTGTAGATAGTGTGATGCATGCAAATTAAATTAGAACAAATCTCTCCGTTTGAATACCTTTATATTTTCAATCTTATCTATTAATCGCTTTCGATCTGAACTTCTAAATGTTCAGCCAGCTAGCCAATTGTTTGTCAATGAACTATTATTTTTTTATGCATCCCACATTCACCCCCTCTATTTTATATTAATTTATGTCCAAACCAGAAACATTGTTAATTCATCTAAACCAGAAAAATTAACAAAAATGTCATATTAAATAAACAAAAGTATGAAAAGTCTATGCTTTACTTTTAAAGATAAACTTGATACATGTACACAACCCTCTTACAAAAGTTGTTGCATTTCGATCGACTTTAATTAGACAAGTATGCTAAATATTCAAGAATTCAAATGCAAATTCTCCATAAACTTGGCTATATGTGGAATACATACATAGTACACATGATTTTATTCTGCGGCATTAAATATCCTTGAATCAGCGCCTGACAAATTGGTCAAACATCAGTCAATCCACGAGTCGCTTTACTAATTTTTTAACCTTCGATATTTGGCTGGGTCCAAAATTAACACTCCATAAATACCACTACCATTCTGCTATAACCTATCGATCTCATGTGTACGTGTGCTGGCTAGCCAGTTTGCTTTTACCAATGGCTAACGTCTTTCGGAGCACTGGTTCAGTTCTTGGGGTCATGGACGACATGGCAAGGACATCCCTTAATAGAATACCCCAAAACTATGTTCGACCCGAACGAGAACCTCTAGCTCAAATCGATCATTCCACTCCTTTGCCAACCATTCCCGTACTTGACTTGAAATGCTTCTTGGATTCTGCAAATGATAGAGACACCCAACTTCACGACTTGTTCTCAACATGCAAGGACTGGGGTTTCTTTCAGGTTAATTTTCACAATTAATTTGATCATTCTTTCGGGTTTCTTTCCTCTAGAGGCTCAGTCAATTTGATCAATATATATATTTTCATCCTCCATTTTCCCTTCTCATCACTTCAAACTCATTAATTATTCCGGTTCAGTATTGATTGTCCATAACCATAAAAAGGTTACCATTAATTCACCTAATTTGAAATTTCTTGTCCATGCATCTTACAGTGAGCTCCTGTCGCGCTCTTTCTAGAGTGAGGATTTCCGTATCTAAAATTGCAAGCCCATTGGCTTTATACGTATACCTCGCCGACATGCTTTTCTCGGCATCATCGTTAAGGAAATTTCGTGCTATTTTTTGGATATATGCAGGTGACAAACCATGGAGGGAGCACTGAGCTTCTCGGGAAACTGAAAATCGAGATCGAGAAATTCTTCCACCTCCCCAGTGAGGAGAAGAAGAAGTACCAAATCAGACCAGGAGATGTTCAAGGCTACGGAACTGTGATCAGATGTAAAGATCAAAAGCTGGACTGGGGAGACAGATTCTACGCTGTGATCAACCCTCTTCGTAGAAGAAAACCATATCTGGTCCCAGAGCTCCCTCCATCACTCAGGTTTGTTAATTCAACACAACATTTTAAACTGTAACTCAACATTATATGACAGTTTGTCATACATATTCGCAGGGATACTCTAGAGACATACTTCACGGAGGTGAGGAAACTAGCGATGGAACTTCTGGGACTACTTGCGGAAGCCATAAAGATAGAGATGAGGGAGGTGGAGGAACTGTTCGACGATGGGATGCAGTCGGTAAGGATGACATATTATCCGCCATGTCCAGAGCCAGAGCTGGTAGTAGGGCTCACACCACACTCAGACGCGACAGGAATAACGATTCTTCATCAGGTGAATGGAGTGGAAGGTCTGGAGATAAAGAAAGATGGGGTTTGGATCCCAGTAAGCTTCCTCCCAGATGCCTTTGTAGTTAACGTTGGAGACATCATGGAGGTCTGTTATTGTTTTTTAGTCCTTCTCTCTTCCACTTTCTCACGGTAATTTTTTTTAAAAAAATGAGAAGCACGTGGTTTATTGAATTTAGCCCTAGGTTTGATTTTTCTTGCATTGAGTGTTACATTTGACACTTATCACTTTTAATATAGGAAATCATGCTTTTTTTCCGCGATACCCACTTCATCCTGACGTCAATGATGAACTTTTCTTATTTCTTTCGAAAGCCACCAAGTTTCAGTTGAATACAATTCCCACAATGCCACAGCTTTTATACATGTACTCCTCCGGTCCTTAATATAGGACCCAATTGTTGAGTTGGTTTTGGTCCTAAATATAAGACCCATTTCTCATATTTATCAATTTTCTCTAAATTACCTCTATAGATACTTCCTCAACCATAATCAAGTAAAAGAGGAAGAGGAGGTATTAAAAAAGATGATTATGGTGTTTTAGGAAAAATGTGTCACATTTTTTATAATTAACTAACTTACCTAACTTCCTTAATCTAATCAAATTAGTTAAATGAGTCTTATATTAAGGATCGGAGGAGTATGTTGTTGATATAAAATATGAAGTGACCATGAGTTCATATTTTTTAGTATTTCCATAATAATTGAATAACTGGGCCGCCACCACGATAGAGCTTTCCCCCTATATTTAATATACACAGGACAATGTTGTCGTCTAGCTCAGATAGTTGAGAGAGTAGAGATTTGAATAAAAAACCCCCAAGTCTGATATTTTCTTTTGAGTACAAAAGATGAAGGAAGACATTCCCACTTATTTTCACACTTTTTAATCCAGTGTTCAGGTAATCAATTCTTAAGAAAGTCGTCAGACCCCCTAATAGCTCAGATAGCAGTAAGTCTGATGAGAATTCAGGTACTTGGTGATTCTTAGTAGTTTATATATACAAATCTAGCTGATGGGTACAAAGTATGCTCATCACTCAGTGAAACAAGATATTCACGTATGAATGCTCTAAGGAATGTAAACATTACCGCTTCAATTATGAAAGTAGAAACTGAAGAACCAAATTAAGCTCGTTTCTTCTTTTGCTTGTTTGTAACCTATCTAACTAATTTTTTAACTACCCCCTTTTTAATGTCCATGACCTACCCTCCCTTATTCACCGATATGATTTTGTAATGATGATTCTTTTGGGTGAGTCTGATCTGCAGATTCTCAGCAATGGGGCCTACAGCAGTATAGAGCACAGAGCAGCAGTGAACAGAGAAAAAGAGAGAATCTCGATTGCCATGTTTTTCAACCCCAAGTTTGAGGCAGAGATTGGGCCTTTCAAAAGCTTGATAACTCCTGAGAATCCTCCTTTGTTCAAGAGGATTCTCATGGAAGATTACTTCAAAGACTTTTTCTCTCAAAATCTCAATGGCAAGTCCCACTTGGAGAGGATGAAAATCAAAAGTGGAGAGCAATCAAACACTTGATGCCCCCATATTTAGGATGAAAGAGATTTAGCTTTAATAAGTCGACAGTCTGATAATCCATATATGCCACGTTACTGTAAAGGAGTAATCATTTTATGTTTGATGAGCGTATTCAGAGGGCCTTAATTTCCTGGTAAGTATGATGACCTCTGCTAGTTGATGTTACGCTGGCGAATGTGTGTCCGATCTATTTGTTTAATTAATCACGTTATAAATGGTAACTTAATTATTTGGGATCACAGACTTAGTTTAATATTGATGCTTTGTGGGGCCACTTTAAATTTATTTCAAAGATGGGTAATATTAACTATTAAGCGTGCTGGCTGTGACGTGTGGAGATCTCATTTGTGATCACATTAAAAGGTAGTCAAATCCTTAATCAGCCTCTCACAATTGATCGAGTATGATAACCTACTGAAAAAGAAGAGGCTACATTCACCATCACGCGTCAGCTCTGTTCTCTTTCTCCGTCATCTCCTTCGGTCCAGCACAGCTCTGAGAATATTGGGGAATAATTAAGAGCAAGAAACCAGTTCGTATTTTGCAAACTCCGTTATCCAGACAGTGGAAGGTGCCCTTGAGCAACTTGTACCGAAGCAATCTTACACTATATTTGATCATCTTTCTAATATGAGTATATATATCTCTATCTCCCAACGGCAAACGTATATATTCCATTCGGATCTCTCCTCGTGGCAGCATTGCTTGCGAATATAGGATGCCACGTAACGAGAGGATATAAGAAAAACAAAATATTACCTCCAACCCTAATTATAAAACTTTGTTTGTAATTTATAAAGAAGGTCTAATAATTATAATTAGGACTGGAGGTAGTACTAAATACTCCTCCCATCTTTAATATAAGACCTAATTATTGAGTTGGTTTTGATTAAATATAAGACCTATTTCTCGTATTTATTAGTTTTTTCTAAATTAACCCTATTGATACTCCCTCGAGTATAATTGAGTAACAGAGGGAGAGAGGATATTAAGAAAGATGATTATGAAGTTTTAGGAAAAACATGTCATATTTCTTATAATTAACTAATTTATCTAGCTTTTTTAATTTAATCAAATTAATTAAATAAGTCTTATATTAAGGATCAGAGGAGTACTTACAAATCATAGAAAAGTAAAATGAGGCAAAACAGGAGCAAGTGCCAGTCAAAAATTTACGTGAGAGAACCTAATGCGAGGGGCAAGGGGGGAAATCCCAATTGATGCAAGAGGCAAGGAGGGAGAAATTTTCCGATGAAAAACACAGTTTATAATGATTATCTCATTTCTAGGAGGAAGGAAATAATGTGTATATATAACTCTTAAAAAACCTATCTTCCACGTTACAATCAAGCCGTCGTACTGCCTTCCAAAGCCTTTCCTTTTTTCCAAAGTGGAACGCAAGCATTCGCCTTAAATCACGCATCCAATTCAAATATCCTCGTAATTTTGCTCGTCCACACATATTAAAACTTCTTTCATTGGCCCAAAATAATGAGTAATTTCGTAATTCGACAGCTTCATAGGTCTGGTAAAACTGAAGACATGACAGAACGCCCCGACCAGCAAACCATGAAACATCCAAACCCGATCATCAACACGTCATTTTGTTATCATTGTTGTCCCCAGAGATTCTTATCCATACTTTTTTAAAATAATTGCTTAAAGATACATCACACTGGCTGCGGAGGACATAGCATACTCGGACTACAGAGCCATCCACCCGTCAACAGCCTCAGTTGTCCTCTTCTGACTTTGGACCCCTCTTGATCACACTTTCAGCCTCAAGAGGATTCGGTGATATCCGGCATTTACCCTTTTTTTTTTTCCCTGATTTTCTTTTAAAAGGCTCACCGCTCAATCCCATCTCAAGACATATCGGAAACAGATCCTATAAAAAAGCTTCTAGCATGCTTAAAATTATTAATATTCATTTGTTAGTCCAACGATTGGCATGCTACTTGATAAACCAAGTCTGTTCCATCCAAGAACCCTACGGCTGCATGTTATATTTGGCCATTGGCCCCAAAAGCAGAAATAGTAATAAATCCACCGAATGAAACTTCCTAATTCCCAATCCAGTAAACCAAGGTCAAAGCCGGGATCATCAATAAGGTTGTGGTGATCAGAAATAGCAAAAACACTTTGCATGAGGCATATCACATAACTTTCCTACGATATGAATCCTATTAATAAATCTCAGCTCCTACATAAAATTCTTACCATCACACGGGAAAAACATATATACAGGTCGATACATAGACGATGGAACACAAACAAAACCCACAACATTATACGCGGTCAGTAAAGCTATCCTAGTTCAGATGGCAAGAGGAGTCCTGAACTGTCCCTACGAGCATCGATCGATCAATGCTTCCCAGAAGCTTGATCATCTTCAAACCATAAACATCCAAATCTGTGTCCTCAATTGCCAGTAATCATTGCTCATGTATATCTCCGTTTATTACAAGCACATAACTGTATACAATCCTCATATTCACAAGGTTTACGCTAGGCACGGCCAAGGAGATAGTATGCGATCCCTGGACAAGCAAAAATAATTTTGATATTAATTCCAGGTCTATCGGTGGACATGTAGCTTTGGATTCTCAAGGACTTTTTCACCAGGACCAAGTCGTTGTGAATAACAACAATATAAGGGTTCAAACAACGAAAACTGAAGCCTGACGTACCTTGTCTGTTTTCTTAAGTTAGCCCTGGGGAGGGGATCCAGGCTCCGAACCACAGAGAGATGCGTAAGACATTGTATCTTCTTTAGAGATAGCCACAAAGTTCAGAGGAGCAGTAGACAATCTTCTCATCTCAAAATATCCATTTTGGCGTCCAGAGTATGAACGCGGTGTAAGAAGTTCAGATGATCCACTTCCTACTGAGTTGCGTCGAGGTGTAGGAGTCATTGACCCATTGCCATTGGACCGATACCCATTTGTCTTCCTGAAGCTGTTACTTTTTCTTGGACTAGGTTTGGACCCATACATGGCTTCCTTTTGGTTATTGAGTAGATCTTGCAGCTTCTTTTGGTCCTACGAGATTCAAGAATATTCACACCAACTAACTATATAATGGGCAAAGGCATAGGATAAACACGAACGACTTTCTCATAGAATTTGATAATATTCCATTTATTATCATGTGTAAATGGGTTGAATAAATCAATATTGCATACTAAGTCACCATCTGATCACTATGTTCAGACGTCAATTTCCGGATAACAACAAGGGTTTATGTGAGATGTCCAGTGTTGATAAATTAGTAACTTACCCTGGATCTTCTCTTTTCTTCTTCTTTCTGTAGTCTGGTCAACTTGTAATCCTCCAATATAGACACCAATCGCACCTGCATATATTATCGTCATTCATGTTCAATGTCTTAAAAGAAGTACTGCAGAAAAAGCAATAAGTATTTAAACTTCAGGACTCACCCCATCATAAAGAAAATGTGTCTTCTTTTCATCTTCCCAGGCTAGTGTTTTGTAGATAAGATTGTCGACCATTGCTGAAAACAGAATACACAATTACCAATGCTCCAAAATATCGTCAACAACTTATAGGCTATGATGAAAGCTTACCTGGTATTTTGCTTACAGTCACTCTTGCTCTTTCTGCACGTTTAAGATTAATGTGAGCGCCTCTTCCAGCATTGTACCGATTATCATCCTGAAAAATCATTGGCATCCTTAAGAAAACAAGCTAGTTGATCTAACAGTAGTTTTGCTTCACAAACCGTATCATTTCAATAATATTTATTTGAACTGCAATACTTATAATGTATAATGAGTTTTTTTTTTTTTAAGTGTAATTTGGTAGAGAGAAGACAAACACAAAGAAAGATGGCTAAAAAATAATGAGGGTCCAAATTACTTGATTATAGTCTTCAAGCCAATTCTCCTCTTCACAGGCAGAAAGCCACTTATCTATCCTATCTGTGACTTCTTTTCTGCTCAAAGCCTCATCCTTCACCTTTGTAATCTGGGCCTCAATATTTGCTAATAGTTCAGAAGGATCAACTAGGCCTGTGAAAAAAAGCAACCTTCAGAAAGGTCTGTTCTTTTCAAATTAATCTGCAATAATCATGGCAGGAACCAAGAAACAAACCAGAATCTATTAATGCGCTAGATTTCTCAGCAGCAGTGCTTGTATCAGGTTGAATATGAGTCAATCTACATATTTCTTCTAGCTCTGACCGCCTTTTCAAAACAAGTTCCTTCATTCGGCTTGCTTTCAGCTTCGCTAGCCTCTCCACTTCTGCTGATGCCTGTAAAATTGCATATCAATCTTGGTCCCCTACATCTAGGGATTAAACGCCAAAAAAATCAATTGAAGGGAAGGGAGAGAAGTACTGAGACCTTTTCTATCATTTCTGGGGAAAGAGCTCCTCGATCTGTGATTTCTGATTCTGAAGATCCAAGAATAGAAGTGATACTTGAGAAACCGTTCCTCTCTTCTTTTGATGAATCCATCAAATTCCAAAGTTCAAACAGTTTAGCAACAATATCCTTCAGCTGCATTTTCAAAGATACTTCAAAAATCAAAGATATAGGAGAAAAGGGCCAAAAAAAAAAAGGAAGAAAAGGTTAGAAAGATATGAAGAAAAAAATTAAGAGTGGTGCATATAGAATACCTTCCGGATGCGAGCTTTCCTTTCTGCTTTTAACCTCATAATGGTATGCTCCAGACCTTCCAACGTGTTATTACTAATATTAGTCGATTGTTCCACATCAGTCCCATGCAAGCTTGGATGCACATCACCCACTGTCTGGCCAAAATCTAATCCAAGCACACCACATAGAGAATGCACCTCGTTCACATATTGCAAGACCTTATTAAGGCGGTCAGACTGCAAAGAACAAGTCCAGTAAATGCATAAGCATGTGAGAAGTGGAACAGCATGGCAATCGATAGGTTTGATCTTCACACATGAAAAAGATTCCACCCATTCCCACCCCCCCCCCCCCAAAAAAAAAAGGTCCGACTTGTATATCCCACAGGAGGGGCTTTTAGGACAAAATGAGTGGTAGCATTAAAATTTGCAGCTACCATAGTAATGAAGTGTAATGGTAAAGGAGGTAAATAAACAAAAGGAGTTGAGCGGATGGCATGTGACTATTAACCCCATCAGAGATTATTTCCTTGAATCATGATCTGCGGAAACTACCTCAAGGAGTCTCAAGAGTCTTCTATACCTTCTCTTTTTGAAGACTGCGAAGATGTGTTTGAAATTCAGTAAGTCTTCTAAGGGACAGATCCTGTTCAACAAGCGCTGATGTGCTGATGGCAGGATGGTATCCAGAAATTTCGCCGCTTATCTTTTCTATTTGAGCCTTTACATCAGCAAATTGTTTCAGTCTTTCCTCATGTTTCATCTTCAAATCTTCAACCAATGGTGAGACTGATGCAAGTTTTTCCTTCAGGGATGAAGATCTCTTCTCCATCTTGATCTGTAAATTTCATCAGACGACCAGATAAGGAAGTCAGATCACACAAGGACATTTTGCACCCTCTCAAGTAAAATTCAAGAAAACTTGCACCTAAAACAATATTGCACCGTCTAAGATGCATCTCTGATAATGTATACTTTGAATCACGCTAAAACTAACTCAGTTCTGACACACAGCCCGGCCAAGCATCTATTTTAGAAGTTTCGCCATTCATACAACATGAAACAACAATCATATATAAAATCTTCAACATAGCATGTTATTCACAAGTTGTAAATAGAACAGCTCATTTTTCAAACTCTGCAAAATGTACAGGAAACCCGCCTAGTTAATAAAAAAACTAGTAATATTTTTTATGCCCAATTTTATTCCGTTTCTCCCTAAACCTGAAAGGAAAAATGCAAAGAAAATACTAACTGCAACAAAGATCCAATTGCTCAACATATATGGATCTTAATGCATGAAAGTATTTGCATGCCTATATTCATCACCAGAAACATGATCAGGCATATTTTGTGACTACCGCACTAAATGCTACCTTATTCTTTCAAATTTTTTCCCTCCAAAATCCACAATTCCTGAAAGTTCACTTTTTGCAACACCATCTTTAGCTGAGCACCATTTTCTGGTGTCTTTTTCCTTCCATAAATATGCTTTTTGACAGCCAATTACTTAAATGCTGGACATTAAGAGGATTTTTTTTCTGTTTTTACTTAATGGATAGGATCGAGTCAAGGATGGTCATCTTACCGGTGAATGCATATTAAGTTCTCCAAGAGCAGCCATTAGTGTTGCAAGCTCTGCTTCCTTGGCTGCAACAGTCTGATGAAGGCGTGCTTTGGTGTTGGCAGCCTCATCAACCTTTCTCCTGTAAACTTCTAAGCATTCTCTCTCAAGTTCCAACAACATGCGGTCTCTATCCACTTCAGTTTCTCCAATATCATTCCATATTTGCTGCACAAACAATGCAAGCAATCAACCCACATAACATGAGAAACTAAAAAAGCAACAGAAGGAAAAGGGAAAAAGAATAACAGAAAATGGGAACATTGAAAAAAAAGAACTACTAAGATATCCTAGTCATTAATCTCTCAATCTCTATCCCCATCTCTCTCTCTCTCAACTAACTCTCTCTCTGCTACGCGTGTGAATTCATTTTCGGCTAAGCGCAGGCAAGAGATGTTCTAGAAATCGCAAGGCCTGGCTTCCCACTAATGTGATAACGTTTAATAAAAATTATGTTAAAAAAAGGACCGAAACAGAGCACCTCAAACTCTATTAACTGCAATGTAAATCGTTCCAGTCATCATTTTGGAAACAGGATCAACAAGCACAAATTTAGAAAAGAAAACATCTGATAATAGACGAACTGCAAAAGAAGAAAGCAAAACCAAGAATTAATGTGGAACCCAATGATCTAAATCATAAGAATTGCGATTAGAAAGTAACCTAATTGTAGAAAATCCATTTCAATTATACGAATATATTTTACACGAGAAAACACTGATCATCACGACAAGGGTAGCCCCAAAAAATTAAAAGAAGCGTTCTTAGCCTAGTTCTTCTCAAGAGGAAAATAACAGAACAAAGCCTCATGTCCCCTGTATAAAAATAACCAAAAGAGACCCAAATGTATGTCAACTTTATAAGATATTATGATTCATTATGGACCAAAAAAGTTAAATAGAAGGGGAAATAAGACATCATTGGGGAGAGAATCGCCACGAAGGAGTAAAACAATAGGTATCGAAAACAAATAATTAGAAGCAAGTTCTTCATCGAGGAGAACAACACAATTCCATGTCTTCTCTGAAACCCAAAAAATCCAGAGACTTAGAACACCTGGAGTTTACTGAGCAAACCGTGAAGTCAGAGCAATGACAGAACAAAAGAGAGAGAAAGACCTCAAGTTCTCTGAGCAGAGCAGCGCAGGTAGTGCTGTTACGGAGACCGGTGGTAGGATTTCCAATGGTCAGCATTATTCAGAAGTCTCAGCTTCTCTCTCTTAAAATCTTTCGCTCTGTGAAAGTAGAGCTGATATGTGAAGGGAAGCCACCAGTAAGAGCAACACCCGCGTAAACGCCAAGAAGGCAGCGCAAGACTGAACTACAAGTTCCTAGAAACAGAGCCTGGTAAGGAAGAGCCTACGGAAATCTAAAGACGAAGCAAGAAACTCGGTGGGTAGTCTAGGTCAAAGAAAGGACAAAGACCAAGAAACATTTGGTGCTTCCATTGCTCCAAACAAGCTCAGTTTAACCAGATCTAAAGCTCGAAGAAAAACTCTCTCTTTTCAAATTCTTTTAGCCAAAAAAGAAAATTTCAGAAAAGTTATAACAGGATCTGTAAAGGGAGGAGGAAGAGAGAACATGGGGGTAAAGTTGCTCAGTGGGAAAAAATGATTGTCATGATTATTATTGTTCTTGTCGGATTAGGTTAGTAAGAAAAAGCTGCAGCAAAGCCAAGAGGCAAAGAAGAAAGGATAATGCTTTCTTAGGGTTTGGTGGTTGGCTAAAATGCGCCGATGTAGCAGGTAAAGACTAAAAAGAAGGAGTTTTGTTTCTGGAAATTGTTGGATCTGCGCACATTAGCCAACAAGTGGAAGTGGGTATTATTATTTTCTCTCAGTTTCTCTCATGGAAGTGTGAGAAAATCTGCAGAGTTGTTTCAGGGCAGGGGTATATGCCCTCCTTACCCTCAAAACGGAGCGTGGCATCCACCGCCCAATAAAAGTAGAATTTCAGTGCATGACCTGATGAAAGCGCGTGAACAGAAGCCTGGAGATTTGACATTGTAGTGACTCAAGTAGCTGTTTTGACGTTGAAGTTTTAGTAAAAGGACAACGGAGAAGAAGATAAATAAATGAATAAACGAAAAGATTAGTAATTAGGAATTTGGAAGAAGAACTCTGCAATATTCTCAACATGCGTAGCTGGGTAAAAGCGCATCGAATGAATGAATTCTTTAATTAAAAGTTGTTCCTTTTGGAGAGAGATTCTGCAGAGGAAGAAAGGTGCCTTGGTGCTTTTCCGTGCTAATTAATTTTACTTCTGAACGTGAGTGATAGAGTTAAGAGAATACTAATAAGTTTTATCTGCAATCCTTTTATGGAGTAGTCAAATTAGAGAATTTTTTCAAAATATTGAAGTAATAGAAGCAATTAAGATTAAGATTTAGTTCCAAATAATCTTTCATTAATTTTTTTAAGGATGTAATATAATTGTGTCTCTATCATTCAAAATAAGGTACATCTAAACTTTCTTTCAGGTTAAATACATACCATGAACAGAAAGAAAATAAATTAATTAGACGAGTTCATCATTTGAAAAACTCTCTTCCTATGTGAGAGCTGAGAGGTCATCGGCAATAAAATGCGCCTTTTTTAAATTATCTGACCAGATATTAATAAAATAAAAAATGAGTTTTTTTAAGGAGCAAAAATGAGGTTTATTAGGGTTGTTCTCTCCAAGCAATGCACGTTTCGAAAGGCACAGTAGAGGGAGGGATTTAATTACATAGATGTCGTCGTCATGAGTCAATTTAAAAGGAGAGTTTTCAAGGGTTAAATAACACCCAATTTGGTTAACAGTCTATTCCGTGGAATAAAAGTTGTCACGCCTAAATTTCATATGCGTCTTAGGAAACAAAGCAGAGTAGCACCAAAAATAATTTCAAACTCCATATAATTAATTAAACATATGTGTCGATATCATGGAATTTCGTGTTTTTTTCCATTTGCTGATGAAAAATAAAGAATATTTCTTTTTCTTTTTATCGGCTCAATATCAAGGAATTGACAGCACAGATCCACTAAAACCATATATAGTAGTTGATTAATCTCTTTGACATGGAGTCCTGGTTTCCTTTATTCACCAACACGCCCTAACTTCACACCTAATTGCTTAGCTGTAGGGTTGTGATTTTTTGGCCCTTGGTGTTGAAAGTCAAAACCTGTCAGATGTCAAGTTTTGTTCTCCTCATCATGGTTATATCAGGAGGATATCTCCAATTGAACAAGTTCTAGTAAACTGGGATTTCTACGGATTAAATGACACGATAATTGTCTTTATAAACACAGTAAGGTGTCACTTTTTGTAAAGTTGAGATATCATATATGAGTATGAGAGGTAAAGACATCCCATCAAAGAGGGGGAAAAAGAATCTTGCATTAGATTGGTGATATCATGATTCATGATCAGTTTGTTATTCTCTTATTTTATCGTTGTTGTGTTCATAAAAATTTAGTACAATAGAATTCATCATAATTGAACAAAATCTGATATTTTGCGTTCTTTCCTCCCTGTCCAATTCACTCGCAGTTTAAAATGTCAATCTTTACCATTACTCTCTGATCTCCCTCCTCTTTATCCCCACCAAGGCCTGCCAACTTTTGAAGCCTCCTTTAGCGAGTGAGAATATTATCTTAAATTTAGTGGAAAAGTGTGGGGGAACAACTTTAGTTCGCAGAAAAGGAGCATTAATACAATCTATTCAATCATTTTTACGAATCTATGAAGAATCATTTTTCTAACCCATGATCGTCGACACTTGCTTAAAAATTTTTACAGGACTCTTAAAATCAAGCTCTGTGTATTGTTGAGTGAGCGTGTGTTGTGTGCGTGTATCAAGATCTTTAATCCTCTGTATTTGGGATATAAATCACTCATCTTGTAATATGTGATGGAAAGATATGGTAAAGTTTGGTTGTGGGTCACTCCAATTATGATGATTACTCATTGTATATAGGAAAAATTAACGGATGGAGATAAATGGACTCGTCTAGAAAGATATCCACTGTTATTTTTGTGTTTTTATGAGTGAATAGATATATATATATATTCCTGTCTATGGTCCAACTCATCAACCATGATTTAAATTGTTTTAAAAAAAGATTTCACGGGAATAATAATATAGATGATAGAATAGTAATTGTGTCCCAGCTAGCCCTGCGTGCAGTATAATACAAATACCCAAAATGGAAGACTAGCCACACCAAACAAAGAAGCAAATCATTAAAGATATGTAGCTTTCAACTTTATCATGCTCGAACAACTTAATTAAGCCGTTAAATAGCAAGATTATTCTTGCTAATAATGGGGTAATATAGATTTCGGCATCAAGCTATATATGTATCAAGTATATGATGCCCGGATGTGTAATCATATAAACTGAAATAACTTTATATAACGTATTGAAAAGTTGAGGTCAATATTGATTGAAGCCAAAACTCGGTTAGAAAATCACCACAAATAATGAAAAAGGCTTGGCTTATAATTAGTGGCAGCACCTGAAAAGATTGGCGGAAAGCAGGATGACAGATAATGGGTTGAAGGAGTACTAATGAAGGGGCAACTTGACCTAATGTCTATATATCATATCTCACACGGAAACGCATATATAAGGGTTGACGTATATCTAACTAACATAATTATCTAAATATAAATCACTTATCCCTTAAAGCGAAGCAATTATTGGTTTGTTGGATTAGGTTTCACATCAATATAATTGATTGCTCGATAATAGTGACAGTATGTGATCCTGATAAACATGTATTATCATCAATTAGTATTATATATCATCCTTCTATTATTTTAATCCTCAAATGAATTCATATAACACATATCAGGCAATAATGCATGGATGGCAGAGAGAGAGATGGTAACTACCTCCTCTCTTGGCTGAATGGAGAAGCCTAAAGTAGTGATAAGAATCAAAGGCAAAGACAAAGTAATTATTATTATATAGAGAAAGGGGGGTGGGGGTGGGGGGTGAGTAACCTCGAATTCTCTGAATGATAAATACATAATGGACCCCTCTTCTCTCCCCTTTCGATCCCCTTCCCACTGTTCTTTTGCACTCTCATTACCGCAATCATACACAGAAGAAGATGCCCTCTTTATTTTCTCTCACACGCACGCACGCCCGTACACCGAGTTATCTTCATTAGACCAATATTTATTTACCAATTATATACGTATTGCCAGAATCTAGCGAGTGACGTGGTTATATTTATATTCATTGCTTGTTATATTATGATTTATGACTTAAAAGTTGGCTGCCCGCTCTCCTCCCCTCTGCAAAAAGATAAAGAATGTCAGAAAAACTGTATCACAAATAAGTTCAATATTTTGAGTTCATATTTGATATTTGTCCACCTGACTAGCTTAGGTTGTGTAATAGAGATAGACGAAGGCAAGGGTATATTGTAGAGTATCATTTGATGAGTGTCATAACATACGAGCATACGACTGGCGAAAGAAATCACATGGGGCCCTTTTTTCTGTTTAATTCTGTCTTTTCCTCTTCCATACAGATAGAACAAGAAGCCAAACCTACCATTGATTTGATTTTGATATTTTAAGCAGGACTTCTTCAAATTCAGGGCCTTGGCTTTGGAGATGAATTATAACGCTCTGCTTCTCGGCGTTATCCAAAAGTGACAATATTTCATCAATTGCACGGGCGTTCTTATATATTTTACATCATCATTTCTGTCGGAAAGTTACTCAAATTCTCTCAACGTTCTTTCAAAAGCATTCATAAAAATAATTAAGATATTTTTGCCATTAATTTAGTATGAATCACAGCCGAGTATTGTTCCCCGTTTTATATGGCATCATTGAGTTAGTTTACGTGTTGTCACATGTGACAGATATATCGGAGTCTTCAAAGTAACGTTATCCAGTCATGGCCACTGCAAAAGAAATATATATATATATATACACACAAATATAAAACAAAAGCAAGTCAGTGGTTGACAGAAACAGATATCACTGACACTATCATAGCAGTTTCCGGGTTATGAGAAGAGGGGGACAAGGACAAGCACAGAGCAGAGTGACACTTACCACTGTACATAAATTAAAAACACGAGAGAGAGATGCAGCAAATTATGACATGCACATGGAATTCTTTTTTAAACAAAGTGATAATATATTATCTAAATATACATGAAAAAAGTAAGAAACACTAAAAAGAACGTCTATTTGATATACTTATTCTGGATTTCTGGTATTGCGTGGGTCATTGTAATTCACAACAATTTTTCTTTTGGGTTTTCCGTTTTGCAATCATCTCAGCTTCACTGTTGCGGAGCATGAGTAGAAGATAGAAGAAGATGCTTTTGTTCGTGTACATGTGTGAATGATTGAGGGTGAGAGAGAGATCCAGGGAGGGAAAGAGAGGGACAAGCAGAAGGGGTGGAGAAAGGGCCTGCTAGTGAAATTTATACGTACTACCTCCCCTCTCTCTCTAAGGTAAGAGTTGGTTGAGGTAATATAAGAGCTTAATCTATTAATTTGTCCCATTTTTATTTTTTTAATATCTCTATTAATTGTATATGTTAAGAGAATTTGTATTATAAAATAGTTTCAATACAAATGATTTAATAAAACATTTAAGAAAACCAGAAAATATTTTTTCATAAATAATCAATTTAAATAATTTTTTAATCTGTTAAATTAGTTAAATAAAATTTATATTAAGAATCAGAGGAAATTCTTTTTAATCTCGATTCCTTCATTCTTAAATTTTGGCTCCTCATAGCCATAGGTGGTATAAAGGTAAATAATGGCGCTTTACATAGGAAGGGTTCACAAGCTTATAATTACAAGTACCAAAAGATAAGAAAATATACTTTTTCATTGAAAAGAAATTAAAGGGATATTGGGGGAGACATTTGCACCGTTGTTTTGCGCTCGTGATTGTGGGGTACTATGCGATTAATATAAATTATTAATCCAAAGTGAAAAACTAACTCAAAGAAAAAAAAAAAGTAAAGAAAAAGGCCGTGTGTGGGCTTCTTATATTGGAATCATTAGCCGACAATATCGAATATAAAGCACCAAATCATATTATGGACTTGCTTCAGCAGTTGACATGTATCATTAGATTTAATTACTCACCAAATAGCAATCATCACCATACGTAAACTAATAAAAAAAGGTTTATTAAAGCAAGAGCATCGTTATTTATGAATATCGCTTTCTTCGCCCACAGCAAACTTTCCTTTCACATATCTCCATTTAATTGTATTTCACGTGGCTCCTATTATGTAAAACTCTAGGCCATTAATATCTCACATAAGTTTGGTTTCATAGATGATGATAGTCCATATATCTTCTAAATCTTTTACTGCAAAATTCTCACAAACTTCAAAAAGTAGAAAACTAAGGAGTACGAAAAGAAAACTAATGAATTTTATAATTATTTTATTATTTGCCTCAATTGCTTTGTTGAATTCCGTCTCAATTTTGCCACAAACATATATTTTACTTCTTTAATTTAGTGTTCATTAATTGATCAAAGCTAGCTGGGTCGAAACCGGCCCCTTTCTTGTGGGGATGTGTTATGAACTATTCATTTTAATTAATTTTGTGCGTAAGAGCCAGACATGCTAAAAGCTTTATGCAAATTGGAATTAATAAATCAATTACGATTTTTTCTTTTTATAAACATCAGTTACGTACAGGGTGCTTCTTAAGATTTAAATGTTCAAAGCTAGTAGTTGTGCTTTGCAGTTGCAGGTCAAAGAAGTGATCATCATTGTCAGTTGGGTCAAATATCCTCCAAAAGGGCAAAAAAAGAAACTGCTGTCTGGTGGCTTCTCATTTATTTATTGGGGATGAACGTCCTCTTATGGCGGATCATTTTCCTTCCGCTATGAATTAATTATAAGGGAAAATAAGTGTTTAATTAATAAAATAAAATATAAAAAAATTATATAGATATATGATAATGAGGTGTTTTTGCAAGGTTTTTAATGATAACACACTGAGTAATTATCACAGCTGCATATTTATGATAGGAATATGAGACTATTAGTTAAACTAGAACAATTCATCGCCAGTTGGTTGAAGAGCTCAGTAATATCAATAACTGAACATAGATTCTTTAAAAGTTTTATCAAGAGAATTTATTCCCCCTTTTTTAAATTCTTCTTAGGTGTAAAGCTAGATAGAAAGTGTATAAAAAATTTAAAAACTCTATCTAGGAGACAATTATTTTTTCAAATCGTAATTTAGCATTTCCATAGTACTCTGAAAACATCCAAGCTTTTGACAGTCCAGCATGCACGAGCCATATGCCCCTGCCAGACCGTTGAGAGATTCTGACAACAAAAGTTGTTAATTAAGGTATGATTATTAGAGAGAACGGTATAATTAATTAAAATAATACAACATTAATGATAGGATAACTTGATGACATGTGTTCCAACTCATCCCCTCACTATGCGCTGGTATATATATTTTTCTAACAATTTCATGACTAACGTCTATCAACGGTGGGGACATTATAAAACCAAGGGAGCATCTGATTCGTCTATCTGATTTTCAACCTTCAACCCATGGTTCATTGTTTTTCCTTTTCTTTAAAGTTTTGCACTGTTTCGTGTATGTATATGTCAAAACATAGACGTCTGTGTCACAATATATATAGGACGAGGAAAAGTGCCTATATCTTAAAGGACACGTACGTATTGATATATTTCAAATTGAAACAAACCAACTCAAACTTTCGATCACATTTCATTTGTTTCCATGCGTCAAAATTATTAAATCATGTAATTTTCGATCGAGCAACTATTGTTTTATGAGATCTTATTTTAGTTGCTGATAGTGCGCGAGTTAAGATATGAGATTTAATTTTATGTGTTTGAATGAGCGAATATAATAAATTATGGTCCGAGGTGCGGGGACACCCTTCTTAGTTACCCATCAAATGGGGCACTACTTGTCACTTGTGAGTGTGACAATATCACATGATTTTCTGCAAATTGTTGCAGGTGCACACATATATATGGAATCCCCCTAAATCCCATTTTGTGTTGCCATTTTCCATAACAGAGAAGGAAGATCATCAAACAAAGAAAAGGACACATTCAAATATATAGACAGACACATGTTAAATAACGCGCCTCATATATGATGTGGCACTTTCTTGCGGCTAATATATATATGAATATTGGCATATATATCTCTTCAACCAAAATGTGTATATATGGTACCTCCTGGGATGGTAGAATCCAGGCATCATAAGCAGTCAGAAAAGTACTCTCTCCTCTTAATGCACGAATGGGTCCATCTCATTAATAATTCCACTCATTATTCAGTGAATTTTCAACAGTTAATTATCCTCGGCACATTTGCAAGATCTGGAAAACAGGCAGTGAACTCGGTTCCCCATGGATGTAACTCCATGATCGGATTAAATTCGGACCACTTTACCAGCTACTAATGTCAAATGAAAATAGTTGAACGTACAGGAGAGTCATATGTAACTGAGATATATATTTGGGTTGGTGAGAAAGAAGATGGTGGTGGGAACAGCTGTTGAAATTTCAAAACAACGAATTCGGAAGAAGGATGTCGTTTATCAGCAAAATGGCTTCTATCATTAGTGCCGATGTGGGGCGAGCAACCCCACGCAGCATTTGGAGAAAACTTTTGAATATGTACTATCGTTAGCTCCGATCCCTCACTCTTGTTCTCTTGCGACTGAAAATGAGATGGCATAGGATCTTTAGTCTAAGGCGTGAGGTGAAGCAAAAGAGGAAAGCATGACAGGGTTTGTTAGGTTACTCCTTTAATCTTATTTACAAGGGACAAAAAATGTGTTTTTTTTTTTTTTGGTTCCATCTATAAGTCACATATAATTGTACATTTTATTTATTATTAATAGGAGTGTAAAATTCCTATTAAACAGGAATAACGTCAACAAAATATTAAATTTCAAGACGGAGTAAATTAAAATTTTGGTTTTCTTTAATTCGAGTGAGATATAAGTAGGAGCCAAGGAGTATATAGTATAAAAAAATAAAAGCATTGGCGAAAACAGGGATAGCGGGTAGGTTTGGTTGTGTATGGTAAGTGGCAATTGCAGTAAGCAAAAGAGGAAGAGATGAGTTCGGAATTAAGGGACCGCCTTCTGCTTTAATAAATGATCATCGCACCTGATTGGCCCTCTCTTTCCCCCTCATAAATGCTTCATTATTACATGCTTTCCTTTCTTTGGATCATCGTTGTGGAGTGCTGTTCATATGTGAACAGAAGAGAATAACAAAGAAACCAATTGTCAATTAGAACTCAGAAGTTGGGTCTGTCACACGTGGATTGCTCATACCATATTGCAGAGTAGTGACTTCATTTCTTCTATCTCGGGTGGGCTAATTATTCTAGTTGCTTACATCTACAATGTAAATCCTTGAATTGAGAGAGAAATGTTAACGAGATATCGATTTAACCAACCACTTTTTGAGACCCAAAAGCAAGATTAAAATGTAGATACTTGTAGCAATCAGCATGATTTGGTATCCAAAAAATCTGTGAAATGGGACATCATCATGTAAAAAATCATGAGTATTAGTGGCTTATAATTAAAATTAGTCTCGCAAATCAAGATATATACGTCTGTATTTGGGGTCCACAGGTCGCTCTCAAGTCTCAACCCTTGGGGGTCTACAAGTGTTATATATTTATATATATATATTGAAAATGAAATTTTTAAGGATTGAAATCGGAGTTTTTTTTTTTTGTTGACCGGATTGAAATCGGAGTTTGAATTGTATTGTAATGTTGGGTTCGTGGTCAATGACAGCTCAAACGAAAGTGGCACGGGGAACAAGAAGGAAGGAAGGATGAGGCCTGAAGGAGGAAAGAGGGGCTTTTGTATTGTGGTGAGACTCTGAGATAGGCCACCGACAGGGGAATCAAACACACACACTACCGCACAGCCAGAGGCATTTTAGATTGGCACTCAATTTCAAAGGATCAGATCATTGTCATCAACAGTGCCTCTTTTGGACCACCCCCTTCATTCACTATTTGTGTTTGTACAGGAAATGGGTCAAATAGTCAGCATACGTGGCTGTACATTTAATTTACCCATGACCACACTTCTTTCTTTCTTTATTATTAAAAATAATAATAACTAAAAGTGTCTTTTCAACTTTTCATAACACTAATCATCAAAGTATCCTGCTTTTTTCCAAAAGATAAGCAAAACGGCTCAATTTTCAGCAAATTAAATCGGCATTAGAACTCTATGAACTGTTTTAAGTCATAGAAGGTTGTCTCGGTGTTAAGCTGGTTTGGTTTCAAACGTTATCTGGTGAATGAATTTAAAATTCGATCATGGATACATAGAAGGATCTGATCTGAGTCAAGATAAAGTAAATAAATAATGAACACCAGCACTGTTTACAAATAGCATTTGGAATTCAAGCTTTAGCAGCTTCTTTCGCCAGACTCTCAGGAAATAGCTCCGATCGAGGAATGTGCTTAGTGTGACCACCAATATATTAGTAATTGGGCCTCAAGACTGTTACCCATGGCCTTTCAAGCAAAAATATAAAAAGGAAATTGGCCAAGGACAATCAAAATTGAACCGGCACTCTTATTAGAGGTAAAACTGGTGCTTGGATTGCTGGATTTTGCCAGGAAATTGGCTTTTGTAGTGTTTTAGAAGCTGAGGAATGGGCAATATATAAAGGCTTGAATCCGGCTTGGGGTTTTGGATTCCAATGCGTGTTACTTGAATCAGACTCCAAGACTTTGATTACGCAACTGAGCAGTAAGGAAAGGAATGATAATTGCAGCTTAATGTTCATCAGGATCCGTGAGATGCTGAATCTTAATTTGGAGGTCCAGTTAACATATATTCCGCGAGATTGCAACAGGGTTGCGGATGCTATGGCTAAAATGGGTTTATCCCAATCTTATTGATTTGATAGTTGGCCAGCGAATCTGAAGGCTTTGGTGGAGTCTAAGTCCAGGTGCCATAATGCTGTAAGTAGCTAGTTTCCTTTTGGGCTTAGCCCTCAATTGTACCCCAAAAAAAAAAATTGAGCCGGTACTTGCTACGTATTCCCCTCCAAATCCGTATCCAAGTCGTATGGTACAACCACCGAAAAAAAAAAAGACATAATAATGCCAAAAGTACTTTGCAGTAATGGTGGGAGGTGGCCAATGTATTCTCTAATACGTGTTTTGGTTTGGAGTATCTGTCCCTTTTAGGCCATTGATCCGTTAATCTAACTTGGCAGATTCCAACACTACTAATCATTGATATATCATGGTTTGACTGAGCTAAAGTTGAAGACATCCAAAATGATTCAACCTTTTGAGGCTCACTAACCTTGTAGGTCAGAGGAAGGATCGAGTACATGCTTGAGAATGTCCCTCACAATTTTTATGATCTCCTCTTCTGTATACGAAGTTACAAACTTCACTGCCAACAGAATGCTTTCGTTAGTTTCCAGGTAGTTGGAGTCTGTCTATGTAAGTCCATAAATTATGTTCAAAAAACAAAGAACAAATTAACAATCTAGTTTTATTTTACTTCGAATTCAGCCCTCAAAATATCAGAGGATATGGTTTGTTAGATGTGAAAGTAACAAGCAGGGGATTCTCATAGAACTAAGAACAATGTGAAGAAAATAACAGTAATCCAAATGCCACTAAGACGTCAAAATATCTCAAAGCGACACATGAAATCAGGGAAATCCTAAAATTGAAGACCCGGGAATTGCTCAAGGGGCATCGGGCATCAGAGCCACAGAAATGCAACATGCGTCAAGCAGAGGGTTTTTACAGGTAAAGATGCTTTTCTACTCCTCTCTAAGCTAGTTTATACACCACTTATATGAGGGACAACAGCCAATATTGAAATCAGTCGAATCTTCCCTAAAGGATATAGAAGTTGCTAACATCAAAGGATTCCCAGACCAACGAAAAGGAAGCCCCTTCTCTAAACATCTATCAGTAGGGTAACTTATAAGGACATTCGTTCATGAAGAATGAGACTGGGGAGCATTCGTAAATATTAAATGATAATCATTTAAAATAATATATATTTTGTCAAAATCAGCCAACAACATCTAGATAAACCTTTCTTACCCCATGGAAGAAGTGGAAACTCCCACTTCTGCTTTGGGACTGTGATCAAATAAGACGCAACCTGCCCCAAAAGAAAACAAAATAAAAAGGAAAAGAAAAGAGAGAATAACTTGCCGAAAGTAAATGTCGTTAAATAACTGGAATAAGGAAATAACCAACGAAGAAGATACCAAGATTGATGCCGCGAGAGAGCAAGGAGACTTGTAAAGAAATGATGTCTTCTTCTTTTCATAGAGAAGATCCATAATTTCCATACATGCTTCGAAGTTGATGAGATCACCAACTTTGGCCACTCTCCTTCACTCCAAAAGATGAGAATTAGCAAGCCACCAAAAAAAAGAAAGAAAAGGAATTAGCAAATAGAACAAAACATCTGATGTACGTATATAATATCTATCTTGTAAATGTGACTCACTTGATCTGCACCCACAGCTCTTCAAGGAACAAAAATGCAATATTTGTTGTGCCAATCTCAAAGTTCAACACCTTTGGAAGTGCCAAATCATATTAGCCAAACAATTCAGAACAAAATACCTGGCAGGTTTCTCAATTTATACCTGCATGAAGAGCACCTCCTGCAGATATCAATATCAGTTATCAACCACCAAAAATGTAGATCATTCATAGTCGGGAGTTTCATAGTTTAAAGAAAGAACTTACTGCTTCGAGGAAATCTCGAGTGGCAAAGTGTTGGTCCTTGATGATATTGTTAGCCAAGGACTTCAAACATCTCACAGAAAGCGGATGAGAATCATGTGTCTGCATAGCTTGACTTAGTGTTATAAAACGAATTTAAAGTTTACAGTAAATTAATTACGAAGGGAAAAAAAAATCCACTAAGAGAGGGCGTAAAACGCACTTTGCTTGAAATCCACACAGAAATCAGCCCAAATAACTGCAAATTGCTCTCTGTCACAGGACGCAAGAGCCAGCTTCTGGTGTTACCAGCTTCCATGAAACTTCAGAACCGCCAAGTATAATGTAACAAAATCAAGGAGCGAATGGAATTACTATACGAAGGGGTAAACTAAAAGAATCCAAATCGGTGATCGAAATTGTGAGAAACAGGAAGAGGAAGATCACCTGCGCAAAGAAATAAAGAACCGATCAACGAACAATGACAATGCCGAGTATTTGACAATGGGAGCGACTTCCAGTTGCTACAGGAGAATAAAAATTTGAAACGAATCACACCGAAAAGGAAGAGAGGAGGGTGAGGGGAAAGAATGGTTACTTGAGCAGAGTGGATAAGGAACTCAACCAAGCGAAGACGCTCATCTGCAGAGGGCATAGACAGAGCTGGGTTTGGGGAAGCAAAGCAGGAAGAAGCGGGAAGGGAAACCACAGCAACTGGCGTCATTGTGCGTTCATATAGGCGGTCAATTGTAGTTGGATTTAGCTCGGATTTATTAATATACAAATAAAAGAAAAAAAATTAATACTACCTGAGTCCTTAGTTTATAAGTCACTCTAATTTAAACAAATAAATTGCAGGAATCTAACTGAAATTGATCTAAAGTATAAGAATTTAAAAATTAATTTTTAATAAAATATTATGTTTTTATTTTAATAAAGCAAAATTTGAACTATTAATTCATGTATCAGTGAGATTAGAAATGATTGTGATAGATAGAATTCACCCTTGCAAAGTTCTAGGCACTTTTTAAAAATATTATTATTAAATATACAATAATATGATGAGTAATGTTTTATTCCTATAATCTGAAATTGAGGTGAAAAATGTCATACAAAAGATGGAAATTCTATGAAGAAGAAAATTGCGCACACTCAATGATACAAGCTAAATTTTTAAAAATTGACATGTACTTTTATATATATATATATACTCTTCCGGTCTTTAATATAAGATCTATTTAACTAATTTGATTAGATTAAGGAAGTTAGGTAAGTTAGTTAATTATAAGAAATGTGACACATTTTTCCTAAAACACCATAATTATCTTTCTTAATACCCCTTCTCCCTCTTCTACTTGATTATAGTTGAGGGAGTATTCATAGGGGTAATTTAGAGAAAATTGATAAATATGATAAATTGGTTTTATACTTAGAACCAAAACCAACTCAAGAATTGGGTCCTATATTAAGGATCGGAGGAGTATATATATATATATTTTAATGCCGCGTAATTAATAAACGGTAAAATCACAATAACAAGGATTTGCTTTAATTTGGATACTCCGCATACGCCAAGAAAAGGCAATTATTGACCAGATATAGACCTGGCCACGAATTTTCTTGCCTGTTCATGGAAACTTCATATGAGATCCGATCATGACGGGAGAAGACCGAGTCAAGAGGCACTTCCTCTTTGTCGTGGATGCGTTAACTATATGAGTCCATGCTTGAAATCTTGTGCAATCAAGAATTTATGAACTAACAGGCTGCAGATAACAAAATTATACAATGGCCGATGACGCATCGAATATTTGTGCAGAATGTGAACGAGTGTTCAAGCGTTTCGATGTGAATAATGACGGGAAAATATCACTGGCAGAGTTTGAGGAAGCTCTCAAAGCATTAGGGGCAACTTCGCCCGAAGAAATCCACAGTCGAATGGCGGAGATCGACAAAGATGGCAACGGCTATTTTTCCCTGCAGCAGTTAATAGAGTTTCAGCAAGCTAACCCTTGCTTGATGGCCGAAGTTTTTAAGAGGCTCTGATCTTTGATCTTTTCTTGCTTTCTTGTATGTTAATGAGAATTATAGCATCAACATCTTGTAATGACCTAAGTTCTTTCTGCGTCCCCCATCCTCGTCATTTCTTTTTTATTAGCAACCAGTACATATCAATATGGAGTTTATATTCAGCCGTAGCCATGTTGAAGGAGGCCGGTTGATTTGGAGAAATGTCGGTGCTAAAGAAATGGCTTCTTCATTCTATGACTTGATTACTCTGTCTTGCATATTGAAACTGTGATCCTGTCCACCTCTGATAAGCACATATTGACGTGAGGCTGACCCACAACAGGAGGAGCATTGTCCTGTTATGGTCAATAATTTGATTTCAAGAAATTGTAAGAGAGATAAAACAAACGAAGATGAGTGTGTCCAATTGCAATGTGGATAGTGATGTACGATATGAAACCACTAAGGGAAATCACATGATGCATTTTGTGGATGTACTTTTACGAGCTGCCACCATGTCTTTAGGATAGGCCTTTTCCTCATCTCTTTAGTCATCATATTCTTATATTACGAATCAAATGCACGATTGATCTCGAAACTGTGATACTTATAAGCATTAAACTATTAGCAGAGGCAAGCGAAGGGTCCGAAAGAGGAACTCTATTCATAGTATATTTGACTTGTTGGATGGATCCCAATGCAGAATCCATGAGTCAATTGAACTATCTACCTAATAGTGTAATCTCATGCATTAGACACAAGCACTGAATTTCCATTTGCAGTTACTTATTTGTTCCATGTTAGCGTGCTGTTGGATGCGCAAGCTCAGAGACACTGTAGGAACCAAGGCTTGCTCCTCCTCACTACTGGTGACGGTGACCTTACTGCTGCACTTGGATTCAGTTGTGGTGGATCCACTTGAAGTCGAGAACTGTACTCCACTTTTCTTCATCTTTTCTAAATTGGGTCACT